ACCCAACATGCTTAGATAAACGGCTGCCGAAATTTTCGGCCGAAACGGGTCAAATTTGCAGAAATTAAAAAAAATATTTATTTCTTATTTTTGTAGTGCATAGTTTAACAGACATGCTTACATTAACAATTCAGATGATTATATATCACAATGAAAGAGAGTAATGATAACATGAAAAGTCAAGAATACTGCTCTTGGTACGGGGGGGAGAACACTATGGGACAGGGGAGGGGGGAAGAACACTATGGGACAGGGAGGTGGGGGAACACTATGGGAAGGGTGGAAAGAACACTATGGGACAAGGGAAGGGAAAAGAACACTATGGGACAGGGAGGGGAAGAACACTATGGGACAGGTGAGGGGAAAGAACACTTATGGGACGGGAGGGGAGAAAAACACTATGGGGCAGGGGAGGGGGAGAAGAACACTAGGGGATGGGGAAAGAACACTGGGGCAGGGGATGGGGGAAGAACAATGGCACAGGGGAGGGGGGGAAAGAACACTATGGGACAGGGGAGGGGGGAAAGTACACTGGGACAGGGGATGGGGAAAAGAACACTGGGACAGTGGAGAGGAGAAAAGAACACTATGGGACAGGGAAGAGGGGAGAAAAGAACCCTATGGGACAGGGGAGGGGGGGGACACTATGGAACTGGGGAGAAGGGAGGAAAGAACACTAAAAAAGAGGGAGGGGAGAGGAACATTAAACGGGGGGGCACTAAAAGGGAATCTTTTCATATTAAATTAATTAAATTCATTGAAAAGTCTAATATTAATAAAATTATAGGAAAAAAACTTTTTAAAAATCATTTGGGGAAAAAAAAGTCATTTTCGGTTTTCAGCCAAGGGCATCCTGAATTTTCGGTTTCGGTGCATCCCTAGAGATATATTTATCTCACTTTATATGACATGAATTCCCTTAAAGCATAGATGTAAAGGTAGTACACCTGCATCACAGGTAGCCCAGTCTCGGCCAATCTGACAAATACAAAAGTAGGGAAACATGTTTATGGAAAAAGTAGCAGAATTAATTTATGAAAAGAAATAGATGTAAGAAAATTTAAAAAACTGAAAATCAGATTTGTTAACAGAAGTAAAAGAGATGGTTTAGCTGTTCTTATATAGGGTAGTGTCACTTCAATAAATGTAAATGTCAGCTAATGGAAAGAGAAAATGACACAACAGATAGAAAAGGGAGGAATGAGATACTTCAAGAAGGAATATAAATGTTATGAAGAAGTCTTTTTAGGCCAATAGTTCTGAACCCATGGATCGTGACCCTCAAGTGAGCCCCATGTAATTTTAGAAGGCCACCAATGGTAAGAGCCACTATCCAACTGCCCACAATTATTAATATTATTATTAATTATCGTTTACTGCTTTTTATATCTCTGGTGCAGTACAGACCCTTTGATACGAAGAAGAGTTTTGTTAAAACTCTAAGCACCAAAACAAAAAACGTTTGCTTCGTAAAGCAGTTTTGTGAATAGATTATGCCCCTGCTGTCTCACTGCTCAACTCTCTGCTGTTTGGAGTTATAGCACATTTGTTGAGCTGAGATTCACACAGCTTTAAAAAAGTAATCTCCTGCTTTTTTGATTGAACTATGATCATACATGGGAGGCTGCTGTAAGTTTTAGCAGGTAATTATCAGAGCATGAGAAATTCTAGAAGTTCTAAATTAAACTTCTTTGATCTTTTCAGGGATAATATTTTAGACTTAGGTTCTGCATGTTGGTCAGCTTGCAAATCTAACATAGCTGCTGTTCTAGACTGCATGTTATCAGCAACATATATAGAAATATTAATTGGGAAAGATTTAATGCCAATATGGTACCAATAGATCGATGAAATTTTGACACAAACAGTTGAGATATATTTGGTAATAATATGTCTGATATATACTGTATGTGACTTTTTATATTCCATATACACTTTAAAACTACCATATTCAGGGCTTTTCATGGTAATGGCAGAGTTGTAAAACAGTAAAAAAGGAAAAAAAATGCTAAATGGCCACTATGTCCCATGTGAGAATTCTGGAAAGGTCAGAACTGCACAGTAACAAGCACAGTTATGTTCATCCTTTACACCTATATGTCTATCTTGAGAATTGTATAGAATTCCTTACCCCGAGCATGTTCAACGACTATAATACTGAAATGGTTGGCAATTCACAAGCTAGATATCTCTTTGCTGATAAATGGAATCTGTGTCCCTTATTTTAATTATGGAACTGTACAGGTCCTAAGTATTGGCCAAGGTCTGATAGAAGAGGTGAATGTTGAAAGCCACGGGGACACATGCTTATAATAGTTCTGACAACAATTTTTGCCTCATTAAATTTATCTTCGGTTTATGGTTTTTTTTTAACAGAGTAATAGTTTTATAGTATTAACTAGAGAGTAATTTACAACAGCAGCAAATATGTGCCTTATATGTCAATTAAAAAAATGCATATCTATTTCCTTTCCGTTCCTGAGCTCACTCAAATGTGATTTCTCCAGTTATGTGATGGTCCATCAAAGACTTGACTTATTATTTAGTCACGAAAAAGTTAATTATACCTTGAAAAGAAGTTTGTGATTTCTATAGGTTCATGTGAACTGGGGTTAATAGGAAAATCAAATGAACAAAATGTGGATAAAACAACATAACAGACAAGTGTCCAAATTTAGGAGGGGCAGTCCCTATTTGGGGCCCAAATCTCTCTTCCCTTCTTTTCTATCTAATGTCCTCCTTTTGTAGGAGCTCAGTATTCCTGGTGTGTCAGAATTTATGGCAGGGCTCCATAGCAATAATACTCTTTAAACGACAATAAATGTATGTATGTATTATAAATGTATTTAGTTGCACACAGTATATTTTTATTAGTAAGTCACTAAAGTGTTTGTCATTGTCCATTTGAAATGTGTGGAGGCATAGAACCACCAAGATGGGAAAACGCTTCATTAGGTACATCTACCAACTAGATAAACTCTTTCAGCAACAAGGTATTTTTGCCAATAGGGCAACATTAAATGTTTTTCTTTTTGTCCCGCCATTCTCTGTAAATTATAGACAGTCAGCTATTTATGATCAACTAGAATCACAACATCTGACACTGTTCCATGTTTGAAATATCTTGGGTAATGCCACATATCTTCCCACTTCCACCGCTTGGGTGAACACCAGCTAAACCCAATATGTGAGAGCAATAAGGTCCATATGGCAGACAATGTATGTACTGAGAGAGTCACTTTGTTAGTGGCACCAGCGAAGGATATGGCGTGTGGTTTGGCAGTAGCTTTCCTCACTTTCAGGTAAAGTTATCCCACTTCGATCAAAACTGTTTACTTTGAATCATATCCTACCAGTTTTCTATATTAAAGAATTTAAACCTTTTAGATCACTTAGGGCAGGGGTTCCCAACCCAGTCCTTAAGAACCCCATACCAGTCCAGGGTTTAGGGATTATCCTAAAGTCTAAAGTGTGTCTAAAGTCACAAATGGGTGAACCCTAAATCCTGGACCGTTACAGAGTACTTGAGGAATGGGTTGGGAACCACTGGCTTAGGGTGTGGGTTTGGGACACCTACACCCAGCATTTTAGAGACCCCTGGATGAGTTAATGTAAATATTTTGCATCATTAAATAGGTCGGATCAGAAACTGCTGTTTGTCTAAGTCAGGACTCTATAAATGTATCGTTTCTCCCAAGCAACTGACACATAGTTAATATATATATATATATATATATAATATATATAGAAAATTAAAACCCAAATTAGACATACCTTTACCCTTCCCCAATTACTTTGACAAGTCAGTGCAAATAAAAGTATTGTTATATGTCAGAAAGATTGATATTCTTATCTAAACGTATCAATAGACTTTGCTGCCACCTAGTGTTCAAAATATTAACACGGGATCAAAAACTCCATGGTAGTTAAACAAAGAATAATATGTATTTGAAATAAGTGCAAATACACTCATAAATGTATGTTACATATCTAGTGACGAGTGTCCATTGAATAACTCGAACTTGTATCCTGCATGAACCCTGCATTTAATATTCGGATTTGATGCTTTTAATACATGGGTGAATAAATCAATGAACATTTGCAGCATTGCCACTTTGAGAATTTAATGAAGACCCTTTATGAATGTATTTGTACTTGTAATTTCCGAGTGCTTAAAATGTGTTACCTTATTTTTCTCTCTATTTATTTCTTGTTTGTTTGTTTACAGGAAACAAAGACTCCCATATTAAGGGAGCATTTATACATTTTGAGTGTATCTGTTCAGCTATTTGTCATATTGTGTGAAGTTTGTTTTTCCACTAGATATTTATATTGAGCACCTATATTTTGTGGGCTTATTTCTGGTTGTGGTTCTGTGTGTGTGTGTGTGTGTGTGTGCTTGCACTGTAATACAATTGACACACACACACACAGGTGGATTTCTCTTTAAAAGTCGATAGTTTAGTAGAATCCTCCTTTTCTTTTAAAGGAATCAGACAGAGAGCAAGCTCTCAGTTATCCTTGCCTTAAAGAACTGGTATTTGAGATAAGAGTCAATCATCAGCCAACAAATCAATGTCGTTATTTCTGGTGTTATTTGTTTTTACAAAAAATACTTTTTAAAAATGTTTAGATTTATGATCATTTCACTTACATCAATGAGGTGTGAGTCTATTCCTGTCCTATTCCTAATCCCAAACCAATAACACTAAAAAATGCTTGGTATCTTAATAGTGCCAATGTAAACACAGCAGAAATGATACAGAAATGATACAGTGTTCGTATGACGTGACCTGACAGTGTGATTTCTATATCCATTATTCCAACACAAGCTTTCCAGGGCCCTAGGCCGGGTGCCAGATTGGGGCCCACTCCTAGAGTACTGGGCTCTGTGTCTGTGAGTAATGTGTGTGTGTGTGTGTGTGTGTGTGGAGACTGAAAGTTGTATATGGGATGGAGGCTGACTGTGACTGTGTGTGCTGGTTGAGTGTTGTGTGTGAAAATGTGTGGAGCAGGGTGAAAGATGTATGGGAGAGGCTGGTGTGTCTCTGTGTGCTGGTTGAGAGTTCAGAACCATTTTAAGATTGCCCAGGGCCCTAAGTAGATTGCCAGTTTGGGTCGTGTGTGTGTGTGTGTTTGAGTCTGAAAGCTGTATATGGAAGGCTGAATGTAATTGTGTGTGCTGGTTGAGTGTAGTGATTCAATGTGTTGTGATAAAGTGAAGGCAGAGAGGCCTATAACATTTAACCCCATACGTGTTGTATGTGTGGTGTGCAACACAAACCTTAGTTTAGTTATGGGCCCTGTGGTGGAGCATTTGGAGAGCAGGGTGCTTTACATACTACTGGGAGAAATAATGTCCAGGCCAGAGTTTTACACTGTCTCCAACCCACTGCTCAGCTGCAGATAATCAGCTGCAGCAGTGGGAATAAACCCCTCCCTGCTAGGCAGGTAAAAGGGGATTGCTGGCTTCCTCCCTGGAAGCAGGTAGGAGAGACGCTGTTCTCTCCTGTGAGAGAGTCAAGGAGACTGGGCACTGGGAGTGCAGAAGGAAAACAGTCAAGGCTGGCTTGGAGCACTGGCAGTGCAGAAAGGAAAGCAGTTAAGGTTGGCTTGGAGCACTGGGAGTGCAGAAAAGAAAGCAGTCACGGTGACTGAGTGTTGGAGTGCAGAGTGTTGTTATCTAATAAGGTTGGTGCAACCCAATGATACGTTTTGTTAGTTTAACCCATGATAGAGAGGGATATTAAAGGTTAGTCAGTGCTCAGACGAGTTAGGTTTTTGTTTAAAGGGAAACCTGTTATATTTTTATTTCTTTAGTTGTGTTGCTGTCTCTTGTGTGGACTTACAAATAAAATGCCTGGATTATATGAAAATCAAAGGACTGTGCCTGTTGTTTACCCTAAAGGACCGTGCTAACTACAAACAAGGATCACAGTGTGCAATATGAGTGTTTTGTGGAGGGGAGTATGAATAAGACAGAGTATCACAGGGCTTGACAAATTTGCTTGAAATCTAGGAGCTAGCTAAAATAGTTAGGAGCCAGATTTTTAAATGTTAAAAATACAATTATTAAAGGGAAACTATAGTCACCAGAACCACTACATCTTAATGTAACTGTTCTGAAGTCTATATATTGTCCCTGCACGCTTTTCAATGTAAACACTGACTTTTCAGACTAAATGCAGAGTTTACATTGCTGTCTGGTAACAGTTTTAGTGACGGTCACTCAGAAAGCCTCTAGACGTGCTTCCCGGGTCATTCCCTACATTAAAGGGACTCTCCAGTGCAAGGAAAATAAACCCATTTTCCTGGCACTGCAGGATCCTGTAGTGCCCCCCATCCCATGTCGCTGAAGGGGTTAAAACCCCTTCAGTGACTTACCTGAATCCAACGCCAATGTCCTTCGGCACTTGGTCAGGCTCTGCCCACGCTCCTCCCCACCGTCGTTCACCGGCAGGGAAGACCTAATGCGCATGGAGGTCCGTGAGGCTGTCTGTTAGACAGCCACTAGGGCAGACTTAGAGCTGCAATGTAAACATTGCAGTTCTCTGTAACTGCAATGTTTTACATTGCAGCCCTACGTGCAATAGGGGCACAGCTGATTAGCTGAAGTGGTCTGGGTGTTTGGAGTGTCCCTTTTAATGCTCCCCATAGGGATGCATTGATTCAGTGCATCTCTATGAGGAGAAGTTGATTGCGCAGCATGGCGTTTTGCTGCGCATGCGCCATAGTCTCCCAATGTTTTTCTATGGAGAAGCACTGGATTGGTTGAGATCATCAAGATTGATCATCTCCGCCATAGAGGTGGGCCCAGTCGCGGCGTCACCAGCATGACGTGGGAGAAAGGGTGAGTAACACCTTTCCCATGTGATTGGAGGAGGCAGGTCAACTAAACAGACACATGCACACTCACTGACAGACACACGCACACACACTGACGGACACACTCAAACACACTAATGGACACGCTCACACACACTGACATAGACACACTCTCACACACACATACACACATTGACAGACTCACACACTGACAGACAGACACACACACCGACTTCATACTCACAAATCATTTATTTTAATATTTTAAATCCCCCCAGCATTCCTACTTTTGGCAAAGCTGGAGTGGATTAGCTTTCCCTGGGGTCCAGTGGGGCTGCTGTCATCTCTCTGCTCTGCTCCCTAGAGCACTGTTTAGTGATGCAGGGCCGAAATAATATCCTATTCCGGCTACCGGCATCAGTGAAGTGCGTGCGAGGAAGCAGAGCAGGGAGATTATAGCTCCCTTGCCGCCACACTCATTCAGCTGCCCACGACTTGCCTCTCTCATTTAGCAGCCCCGCAGTCCACTTCCCTCATTTAGCAGTCTGCGGCCCGCCTCCCATATTTAGCAGCACTCATCTGCCTCCCTCATTTAGCCGCCTGTGTCCTGCCTCCCTCATTCAGTCACCTGCCTTTCTCCCTCAGCTCTCAATGAGCCGACCGTATGCCTTCCTGCCTCAGCCCCACGTGAGCTGACTGCCTGCCTCCAATCTCAGGCAGCCGGTCACCTCAGGGGCTGAACAGGCTCACAAATCCCACAAATTTCCTAGTCTGCATGGGGACCTGGCGCCTGGGATTTGTCGCGCCCTGGAGTATTGTGTGTTTTGGGGAGAATACATTGGGTGGTTCCTGTGCATGGGGAAGTTTTTTTTAATTTACCACTCTCCAATCTTTTTGCAGGAGGGTGTATTATACCTGGTGGTCAAGTCAAGGGCACACCGAGGAGCTAGATCCCTGGTGGTCTGGTGGTAAGTGTGTGTGGTCTCCATCAGTAGGCCGGCTCTCTGTCAAGGTCTCAGAGCTCTATGAGTCACAAAGAAGGGGAGGGGGCAATAGCAAGCTTTCTCAAGGTAATGAGGGGAACCCATCACCGCCAGAGTTGACGCTCCAGGCCTAGAGCACCAGGAGCTCCAGGCCCACACAGCGGCTGACCAGACCTATGCCACCTTTTGGGTTATGCCACACCTGAAGGTAGACCCCTCCCAACCAGGAATAAACTCTTATCTCATAAACTCTATGAACAGGTGTTCATAGAATACATAGTTTCTTCCAGGAGTAGTCCCACTTATAATTTAGAATGTCTGTCTGAAACACATAGCCTTGTAAACTGCTTACTGGCCTAGGCTATATTACGCTCTTGGCAGAGCTTCAAAGGACACTATAGTTACCAAAACAACTTTAGCTTAATGAAGCCGTTTCGGTGTATAGATCATGCCTATGAAGTTTCACTGTTAAATGTTCTGCTATTTAGGAGTTAAATTGCTTTAGTTTCTGTTTATGCTGCCATAGTCAAACTTCTCTGAAACAAAAAAAAAAATGGTTTCATTTACAATCAGATGTTTTTTATTATCTCCTGCGCTGTACATGGAACTTTAATTACATACAGGGGGCTCATGCAGGGTCTAGCAAGCTATTAATAGTGCAGGAGATAAGAAATTATAAATTAAACAGAACTTGCAATAAAGTAAGTGTAAACATTAGACAACTCTTTACAGGAAGTATTTAGGAAGGCTGTGTAAGTCACATGCAGGGTGGTGTGACTAGGGTTGCATAAACAATGTGATATAACTCTTAAATGGCAGAGAATTAAGCAAAGGGACTACAGGAGCATGATCTATACACCATAAATGCTTCATTAAGCTAAAGTTGTTTTAGTGATTATAGTGTCCCTCTAAGCATGTCCAGCCTGTGGTTCGTCTCTCTCCTGGAAGTAATGAAATCTCAGATCAAGTTGTGAGTATAGCATGCTGCTGTCATGCAGAAAACTTGGATACAATTGTTATAACTAGTACAGAACTCTCATTCCAGGCTAGCTGTTTGACACGAGCCATATTTTGAGTTACACCCTGGCATTTAAAAACCTTAACTAACTCTAATCTGGCACAATTTTAAAAATAAACATTTGCATTATAAACGCTTCACCAAGTTAGAGTGCTTAGGATAACTCTTTATTTTTTTTCCCTTTCTCTCTTTCTTTCTTTTTTTTTTCTTTCTTTTTTTTAAAAAAAATGCTTTATTTAAGAAAGACAGCCAGGTATACATGCATAAAGTGAAGCTATTGTGATACTACATTCTTATGGTCACTCCAATCCCAGGGCCGTCTTTAACATGGGACAAACAGGGCAGCTGCCCCGGGCCCAGTAACTTTTCAGGGCCCCAAAGCAGGTGCCCCGTCATCCCGCTGCCCTCAGCGATTTATTTTTCCCGGGGGCCCGTACACTAAGGAGGCCACCAGGTGGGCATTTGTTAGCATGGGCCCTAAAGGTAGATCCCTAGATGTTTTAAAACCACAACTTCCATTATGTTTTGCTATTCTAAAAGCATTCTAAACGCATGCAAAGCATCATGGGAGTTGATGTTCTACAATATCTGGAGACAGGGGTGGACTGAGCGGTTGGGCACTTCGGACATGGTCCGAGGGCCCGGCCGAGTAAGGGGGCCCGCCGCCCGCTTTGTGTGTCTGGCACTGTCAGTCATTCACCGGCCACTCGAGTCTGACACGCAATAACCACGCCGTCCTCGAGCCCGGTGAGGCAGTGATTACAAGAAGCGGAGGCCCAGCAGAGCTGATGATTAAAGCAACCCAGTGCGTGGAGGCACGCAACGTCACGTACTTACATTGATGTGCCCCTCCGGCACGGGCCTCTCCGATGGGGAAAAAAAAGTTTCAAAGATCAGGGGACCCTTTATCAGCGCGTCCGGTCCCCTGATCTATGTTTTGCTGCTGTGCTGGTAGAAAGTTACTCTGACCCTGATTACTAACAAGCAGCACCAGCAGAAGGGGAGCCTAACTCCCATCACTTTTGCCAGATGCCAATGGGCAAAAGGTATGAAAGAAGGAGGGATGGTTAAAACTATGTAATGTTATCTGTGTGTCTCTGTATATCTGGGTGTCTATGTGTAAGGTTGTGTATATGTATTTGTGTGTCTGTGTGTGTCTTTGTATTTGTATATGTGTCAGTGTGTATCTGTGTGTCTGTACCTGTGTATATGTATGTGTGTCAGTGTACGTCTGTGGATCTGTATGTCAGTGTGTGTCTGTATGTGTGTTAGTGCGCGCCTGTGTATCTGTTTGTGTTAGTGTGTGCCTGTGAATTTGTATGTGTCAGTACGTGTGTTTCTGTTTGTCTGTGTATCTGGATGTATCAGTGTGTGTGTGTATGTATGTATGTATGTATATGTGTATGTGTATACATATATATATGTGTGTGTGTGTGTGTGTGTGTGTGTGTATATATAATTTTTATATATGGCAGTGTATACATCTCAGCATTCAAACTCAAACACTTCACACAAATATACCCCTGCATTCAAACATCAACACTACATTCAAAAGCAAATACTATACATGGTAACAGTACGTAACAACACATTACACAGAAATACACCCCTACATTCACACACATACTGCATTCAAAAACATGCTTACATTTAAACATACAAACACTGCTCAGTGCTAAGTACAACCCTGCAAGGATGGGCAAATGGTAGATCCCCAGCTGGGAATTGTACGACGATGGAGATCTACCTTTCTTTCCATCGTTGTGATAAGGGGTCCAAAAAAATTCTTGAACCAAGGCTCTATCTGTTTTAGCTCCACCACTGAGAGCAATGCAGATTAGCAACTTAAAAAATGGTACACATAGAAAACATTCATATAGAAAAGCAGGGGAATAATAAATCCAAGGCAAACTTAAATAGACACTATAGTC